TTTGAACATCAAGGAAAGGTAAGATCTTCAACTTTTTCTTTTTCAAGATTGTTTTGGATATTTGGGGTCCCTTAAAATTCCCTATGAATTTTAAGATGAAACACACTTTCTTGCTTTTAGAAGAGGTAGAAATGCTTCTGAGGAATATCTCATATCCTGATAAAGTTGTGGCATTCTACAAATATACACACACTACCCATTACATTAGATGTCTTATTTTTCATCATTCATAAATTGTTACCATGGACTTATTGTGTTTCCCTGAAGCATGAGTATGTTCTCCTCATGACCACTAATTTTTATTTTGGCAACAATTTACAGTGTTCTTTTCGAGTTTGTATTAGAGTATCCTATATTTATCCTAAGGAATTAGTTGAGGGCTATCAAATAACATGTTAATGAAATCCCTTATTATAGTTTGAATTATGGTTACACCTTTGAGGCATAAAGAATAAATATGTTATATCAACAAATTGCTGTATATGACATATATGTGCATCCAAAAATACAGTGAAATGCTCTTAGAAGAATAGAATGAGGTTACTGAGACAAGCCACATAAGCAGTTTAGAAATTCAAAGCAGCAAGCGATTGCTGTTGGAGAAGTGGGTACAGCAAGAGTTAGTTAATATTTAATGCAGCTAGGTAGACTTACATAGGAAAGAATTGAGTCCAAATGGCATCAGCAATTCACGATTTACTGAGCACCTCCTGTATGTCATATGCTGTGTAAGGTCATACAGTTAAGTAAGAAGTTCTCCAACAACTACAAAGACATGCAAATAAGTAACTATACATCAGGCAAAACAAACATCCATAGAGGGAACTCATTGATGTTAGGTTATTTTCAGGCTCGGTTCCAGGGGTAGTTTTCACAGTTGAGAGGGAGCAATTTGGATGGATTCAGATGCAGAGAAAGCAGAACAAGAAAACAAGTAGGGATACTGTTGTCATAGACCAGGCAACATGAAAAGGACATGAATTAGGATGGAAACTATGGGATTAAAAGAAAAAAGAAGAATAAAGCCTTTAGAGTCAAAGCATTAGACTCAGTGATGTTTTAAATTTTTTGATTGATGGCTGAATGAATTAATAGTAACCAAGGACGTAGCACCTAGAAGTCTAAGCATTTGAGATTTAACATGACAAAGCCATAAAACATTAAATATTTACTTCTATTAGTGTGCTTTGGTGCTTTGACGTTTACATTATCTCCTAACAATTCTATTAATATTAGACATTATCCCAGTTTTAAAGCTTGAGAAACCAGGGTTTTATGTTGTTTTGTATCTTACTTACATCTTATCAATGATAGAATCCATACCCTTGCTTTGGTCTGTCTGTGCCTTTGCTTATATTCATTTCCAAGCTAACGTAGTTGTCTTGTACTACACATTATCATGGATTTATTTTTTAGTTGGAGTATAATTTATACTCAGTGCAATAGATTTTATGTCTTAAGTCTGTTAAGTTTTGATAATTGCATACACCTGTGTAACCTCCACACAAAACAAAAATATAGACTATTCATTCACCTCTGAAAGATTGCTGGTGTCCCTTTACAGTCAATCTCTCCTTCCCCCAAGAGCCACCTGCTTCCTGATTTCTGTCACTATAGGTTAGTTTCAACTGTTCTTTTTTTTTTTTTTTTTTTTTGAGACGGAGTCTCGCGCTGTTGCCCAGGCTGTAGTGCTGTGGCCGGATCTCAGCTCACTGCAAGCTCCGCCTCCCGGGTTCCCGCCATTCTCCTGCCTCAGCCTCCCGAGTAGCTGGGACTACAGGCGCCCGCCACCTCGCCCGGCTAGTTTTTTGTATTTTTTAGTAGAGACGGGGTTTCACCGTGTTAGCCAGGATGGTCTCGATCTCCTGACCTCGTGATCCGCCTGTCTCGGCCTCCCAAAGTGCTGGGATTACAGGCTTGAGCCACCGCGCCCGGCCTCAACTGTTCTTAAACTTAATGTAAATAGAATCAAACAGCATTTATTCTTTTGTGTCTGGTTTCTTTCATTAACATAACGTTTTTGAGATTTATCCATGTTATGTTTATTCCTTTAATCACAGAGTAATACTTCATTCTATGAATATACAAAAATTTATGATCATTCTCCTGTTGGTGAACATTTGGGTTGTTTCCAGTTTTTGGTTACTATGAATAAGGTATAAATGTGGCTTTTAAAAAAATTATTATAGAATAAACATGTATAGAGCATGTTAGACTCAGGGTAGACACAGTTATGCTTCAGTAACAAACAGCCCCAAAACTCATGGCTTAAGACAACAAAGAAATAAACAAAGGTTTATTTCTTTCTCATGTTACATACCCATCAGGGCTCAGTAAGGAGCCCTCTGTTCACCATGGTCATTCACGTAGCCAGGCAGCAGAGGTGCCTTCTCACCATTTGTTTCCATGATCACCAATGCAGAAAAAGGAAACGTAACTAATCAAGCACTGGTTCACCTTTAAAGAGGAAGAAAAGTTGAAGCTAGAGAATTTATGAACAGCCCTAATAACTATCCCAGAATAGTACTGAGGAAATTACACTCCACTGTAATATTCACCACTATACCTGCCCCATCACACAAAATGAAATTTTAAAGCCTTTTATAGTCATTATATCTCTATAAGGGATGGGTAATATGTTAATAGATAAAACACCCAGAACCTACATATGAAATGTGGACAGACTGCAGTTGATACAGTGAGCAGACTTAGAACTGTGCATGTATTTTTACCCCAAGGAAATGTATTAAATAATTGAAAAAGTAATAGCCCAAAATTTAATAGCCTAGACTCACCTAGGGATCTTAACTTGCGTATTTGAGAGAAGGAGACATCTGTGGCTCTGGATAGACTATTAAAATGGGAAACACTGTAGTATAGTATTTAAGAGTAGGTTTTGAAACCAGAATGCTGTTTTTGAACCTCAGCTCTGCTATTTATCAGCTTTGTGATTTATAAGCTGTGTGACTTTGGTCAGGTTGCTTAACCTTTCTGTAAAACCAAGAGAAAATGAAAAAAAAAAAAAAATTCTAACTAAGACGTAGACTTGTTATGAAGGTTAAATGAGTTAATGTATGTAAAGCATTTTGAACAGTGGTATCTGGTAAGCAGTCAAATGTTATGTTTCTAGTTATATTTCCGGTGACCATGTTTTCCAAATCAAAATTTGTGTCATGTATTAATTTTCTCTTGCCGTGTAACAAATCACCCAAATTGAATGGCACAAAACAATACCCGTTTATTGGCTCACAGTTGTGTAGGTCAGAATGCTGGCATGACAAGCCATGGCTCAGTTCTCTGCCCAGGGTATCACCAAGCTCAAGTCAGGCATTGGCCAGGCTGAGGTCTTGTCTGGAGGCTTTGAGGGGAAAGTCGCTTCCAGGCTCATTCTCTGTTTTCTTGCTGGTTCTCAGGTGGGGGCTGCTGTCAGCTCCTAGAGGTCCCTACAGTCCTTGTCAGGAAGCCCCCTCCATCCTGAAGCAAGCAATGGTGCTTCCAATCTCTGAGTTTCTGTCTGTGACCTCTAGGCATTCCACAAAGAGTTTAATCAGTTTAGAAATCATTTAAGTCAACCTACTAATTTAAGGCTTTAGGATACTGAGGTTCTGAGTGAAATCTCCAGATTTGAAGGGCTTTGTTTGTATGATTAGGTTAGGCCCAAACTAATAATCTCCCTTTATCTTATAGTCAGCTATGACTTATCATATAGTCTCATTATGGAAGTAAAATTTGTCTGTAAACTGGGGGCAGGAATCTTGGGAGACTTAGCATTCTGTCTAACACAAGGTACATGATTTTTACCAATGTGAGTTTCATTTTTATAACAAAACAATTCAAATCAGGATCCAAAATGTGTGTTTTCCACAAATATAAATATATTCTACAAACAAGAAGCTGAATTAGAGGTATTCTTAGCATACTTTTGGAGAAAAACTAAATTGAGATCCCTTGAATAGTGTATTAGTCTGTGCTCACACTGCTATGAAAATACTATCTGAGATTGGATAATTTATAAAGGAAAGAGATTTAACTGACTTACAGTTCAGCGTGGTTGGGGAGGCCTCAAGAAACTTATAATCACAGTGCAAGGGGAAGCAAAGCACCTTCTTCACAAGGTAGCAGGAAGGAGAATGAATGCGGGAGGAACTACCACACACTTATAAAACCGTCAGCTCTCCTGAGAACTCACTCACTAGCACAAGAACAGCATGGGGGTAATTGCCCCATGATTCAATTACCTCCACCTGGTCTCTCCTTTGACACGTGGGGATTTTGGGGACTACAATTCAAGATGAGATTTCGGGTGGGGACACAGCCAAACCAGATCAGGTATTAATGCCACAATTGCAGTTGTTTGTTTACTTAGTTGTTTGTTTACAGCTAAGTAAATGATGCTAATATCATCAAAGGCAAGAATCGTCTTTTATCCATTTTTAATCCATTTTATCCATTTTTGTGTACATAGCATAAATATTTGTTAAAGACATGTATATATTCAAAATAAAATCAAAGCTATATAGTTGAGTTTCAACCAATCAAAGTAACCACCAGCCAGCTTAAACTAAAAGGAGAATGTACTGTGAGAGTCCAGATGCCTCCTGGACTCTTAGAAAAAGATCCATACAATAAGGCTCCAGAGATGGACCCAGGGCAGCTCTAGAGATGTCGGCAAAAGGGAGTTCTGAACCCCTGTTTTTCCTTGAGCATTTCCATTGGTAGTCTTGACGTTGCACTCCTGATCTTTATATGTCTCTTCCAAATGTTAAGCCTCTGGGAGAGAGAATCTGATTGCCCCAAACTGAGGCAGATGTCTGCCCCCTTTATCCAGTCTGATTGAGGGCAGGGCTATTAGTACCTAGTGTAGACATTATGGCCCATCCAAGGAATCACTGTGAGCTGGGTGGACACCCCAAGAAATGGCCTTTACATGTGGTAAATACTGATGGCTGGCTGACTACAGGCAGCACGGCCTCACTAATACATGGAAATAGCTCAGAAAGCACAGGGTGGTTTCAGTAATTCTGGTTTCTTCTCCCTGTCTTATTAAGATCACTTTTGTTCAATAGACATTTACATCACAGTACACCTACTCCCTGCCAGGTGCCACACTACAAGCTGAGGATGTGAAGTAATAAGATCTCATCCTTGTGCTCAGAGTGGGAGAAAAACCAGCACAAGTAATTGGAACAGAGCATGGCAAGTACAGCAATGAGGACACACATGCGGTGTGTTCCGTGCTCTGGAAAACCGGTCTCACCCTTATCTGTGGGAGAAGTCCATTATCTCTCTCCCAGCAGCTCTTAAAGATAATTATAAAAACACCCACAAACAATTACAGTTCCTGACTGTGTTCTCTTTGAGGCACTGGGGCCTAAGAAACTTAGGCTAATTATATGGAAAGGAAAGTTTCACCCGGCTTGATGGCTCATACCTGTAATCCCAGCACTTTGGAAGTCTGAGGCAGGCAGATCACTTGAGGCCAGGAGCTCAAGACCAGCCTGGCCAACATGGTGATACTCCAGCTCTACTGAAAATACCAAAATTAGCTGCACATGGTGGCACACACCTATAGTCCCAGCTACTCAGGTGGCTGAGGCATGAGAGTCACTTGAACCTGGGAGGTGGAGGCTGCAGTAGGCCGAGATCACGCTACTGCACTCCAGCCTGGGCGAGAGAGAGAGACTCTGTCTCAAAAAAAAAAAAAAAAAAAAAAAAGAAGTTTAATTATAAAGCAAACAGATTTCATTACTTATGAGAATCATAGGATATGAGGGCTCAAAGGTTCTCCAGATATCATTCAGGCCCAACTGCTTGTCTGAAGTATAAATGCCTTCTCTCCTTTGGTTGCCCTTTTCCTACTTTTCTCTTGAAAATTGCAGCTATGTCAGCTCTCCATGGCTTGATGCTGAGGGATGTGACCACTTTATTAAGTAGATTATAAAGGATTATGAACTGTAACTTCTTATAGCAGCTTTCTTCTTTTCAGTGAGAGTAATTGTTGGTTTTCTATTATGTAAGGTTAAAAAAAATTGAATATGGACTTTAAAGGCCATTAAAGTCATACTAATTTGTGAAAAAATCATTAAATTGTAAAGGGATAACTTGGCCAATTTGAGCTAACTTGGTTCAGTTCATCATGATCTCTCAATAAGAATTCATGTACAGCCATATTTTTAATGCTGGTAACCTTTGAAAGAGATATGAAAAGTCATCTATTTAATTACTGCCAAGTATACTCTGCACTGTGAGTTCCAGATCTAGAGCAGACATGGCCTGTTGGCTTTTGGCCCTAAGCTGAGCTTTATTGTGTTGTTCAATGGGAGAAATTGAGTGGGAAACATAATTACCACTGGAAAAATGTTGTTCTTTACCCACAAGTGACGGATTACTTTTTCTATATGTGAGCAAACTGCTGAGGAATGGATTGTACTCGCTGAAAAACAATAGCCAAGCCATCTCTTAACATAATAGTGTTTGCTCAAGGCACCTGAAATGCAGTCAGAAAAAACAGAGATGTGCTTGATATGCTATGTCACTTTATAGTTGTAGTTTTTCTCCCATTTGGTTTGGTTTGGTTCATGCCTAGATAGTCTAAGAATCCAAGAAGCATAGAGCTTGAAATGGCACCTAGACTTCATGTTTTTATTTATGCTGTGTTTCATTCCACAAAAAATTTAACCAATTTAGGATTCTTATAACTTAGACTCTGAGAAGTGATTTCCCCAAAGTCCCTCTGTTAGTTAGTGACTGGGCTAGAACTGAGACACCTACCTTTCTGTCTCCTTATTGAAGAGAGTTGTCATTACATCCCACCCCAACCCACCCCACCATTCATTCTTTTTTTTTTTTCAATAACCGTGTTAAGCACAAACACTTGCCAGGCACTATGTTACCCCTAGATAGTGTCATAGGGAGTAGGATGGACATGAGTCCTGTCTTTGGAATGCTTCCCATCCAGAGAGAAATTCAAATTTGGAGCAAATGTTCACACAAATCAGTTAGGTAAAATATGAAAAAAACAGACCTATAACAGCAATCATTGTCTAGGGTACTATGAGCATATTAAGAAGCCTGGAAGGCTTGTTTTAGGAAATGACATTTATGGTGAGCTATGAAGAAGAAATAGGAGTAAATCAGCCAAAGTATTTGTCAAGCAGAGCAGAAGAGAATAGGGTAAGAGAAGACCCTGAGGCGGGTAGATCTTGGCTCAGCTAAGAAGTGGAAAGAAAGTCTGTGCAGCTGGACTGGGGCATAAGTGAGCAAGGGGAAGAAGCAATAGAGGGGGCCAGAGATGGGGGCTGGGACCTCTAAGCTTCCTTATCAACTTTGAGCTTGATCCTAAGTGCATTAAGAAGCCATAAGAAGGGGTTAGAAATATGATCAGTTTTATGTGTTAGAATCATAATAACTTTGCTGGGTGGAGAATGGGTTGGAGAGAGGATGTAACTGAGTTGCTCTTACATGCAGGTGAGAAATGATGATGGCTTATAGATAGGATAGGATGGAAAGAAGTGGAAAGATCCAAGATATGTGTTGAAGGTAAAATCCATGAGACTTGCTGGTTGGAAGTACAGTTGAGGGAAGAGAATTTTCAAGAATGACCCCTGGTTCCTGGTTGAACAACTGGACAGATGTTGTTGACATTTACTCTGGTGGAGAGAATTCGCTGTGGAACCATATGGTGACTAAGTGGGATAAAAAAGCTCTATTTTATTTGAGATACTTGTAAGACATCTAGTGGAGATATAAAGTAAGAGTGGGTATGCAGGTCCTAGTCCTAAGCTCAAAAGATTTGGGCTAAATATGTGAATTTGGAAGACAACGATATATAGAATAGTCTTTGAATTTAAGGGAAGGGAATAATTCACCTAGTTAGAGGTCATTGAACTCACATTGGAGGGGAAGGATGGGTGGGGTATACATTAAATAAAGAATACAAAAATTAGCCGGGTGTGGTGGTGCATGCCTGTAATCCCAGCTACTCCGGAGGCTGAGGCAGGAGAATCGACTGAACTCAGGAGGTTGGGGCTGCAGTGAGCCGAGATTGTGCCATTGCACTCCAGCCTAGGTGACAGAGTAAGACTCCATCTCAAAAAAAAAAAAAAAGAAGAAGAAAGGAAGGAAGGGAGGGAGGGAGGAAAGGGAAGAAAAAAGAGAAAGGCAGGCATTTCAAGAAAAGGCAGTGACATGATTAAATCAAAGGAAGAATGGTCACATAATCCAATTGGTGAAAACTAAAGCATACAGTGGGGTTGGATTTTGAATGCCCTCCCAAGTCAGGCAGTAGCTGTTCTATATACATGGGTCATATGGAGAGAAATCTGTGAACAGTCTAAGAACTTTACATATCAGCAGGAAGCGTTTTTTGTGAGCTTCCTTGGTTTATATTGTGAAACATAAAAGCAAACTTCACATAAATCTTGAGATAATTATGTTGGTTGTGCATCATAATGGGTATAATGACTATAAAGGAGAGTCATTATCTCCCACAAACCACTGCCAACCATTTGCTAGTAATGTGGTGGAAATAGGTCCAAATAATCAGAACCAGTATTGTAGGAGTTGTATGCCTGTCACCCTGGTGATGAGGTTTCAGCTGCCATCTACTCTACTCCATTGGGATGAGGAGGAGGAGAATTCACCTAACCACAAAGCATTTTCTGTCTGGAGCTCTGCCCTCCCCATCAATCACTCCTCCTCATACTCCACCTTGCAGGCCTATTGTAGACACCCCATCATCCTTCATTTGCAAAACAAAGTTAGAAGCCAAGTGAGGAGGCTGGGATCCTTTCCAGTTCAAAGAACAAAACGCTCCAGACATTAATGGGGCCTAAAGGTTGCACATGGCCATTTGAAAAATTTATACTCCACAGTGCTGAAAGAGCCAAAGCCTTTCCAAACTTATCCTCTGCAGCACCTGACTTACTAAATGGGATTTGAGTAACTCCTAGCATCATCACTCTTTGTCACTAATAATTGCATCTTAGTATCCCTTGAGCAGTACATCTTTTTTTGTGCGTAGTAACTTTGCATGGTTGGAAGCTATATATATGGAAGCTATATATATTTATATATATATTTATTTAATTCTATGATGCTGTGTGTGCATTTTCAACTGAGAACTTAGGAAGTATTTATAATTTGAGCCAGGAACTTAGCATTTACTGTGTACTGATTCTGCCTATTTCAACATTTCACAGAAACGAGGATGCAGTCAATCAGATGGCCGTTCCTCCCTTTCTAGTGCCATCAAGTTCTCCATCTTCTATTGAGGTAAGGCTGTTTCTAATTAGCTCTTAGTATATTAGATGGGTTTGTCATGAGCATTTTCCCCAAATCTGACATTTTTTATATTCATTATTTGGTATTCCAAACTCATGGAAAATTTCCCTGACCAAAATAGAAAGTATTGAGGTATTGATTATAAAGCAGTTTTTTAGTAAATATGTTAGAACCTAACATATAAGTATTACCTTCCTCAGGTTGCTCAAGGTCTCCTCTAAATATATAATTTTGTTCTAATTGGGCATTTCAGAATTTACAAGAAAATTCTCTTTGTTTATGACTGAATTGTACCCCTTTCTTTATGGTTTTGAAATACTTTAATACCTGTGATCAAAGTGCCTTTAAATAATTACTTTCATCTGTGAATGGAGAAATTACTAGTATAACAAGATTGCTGTAATATTGGTCAGCTTCCGGAGTAGATAGAGATAGAACTGCGTAATCAGTTTGTCTCCCCAGCTGAGGGAATATTCCTTCTCTTCTCATTTTATATTTATTGAATTATTTTTTAACTCTAAGAAGAAATACATACTTATTGTTACTAATTAAATAGTGCAGGGTTATTCAAAGAAATCTTAATTTTTCTTTCACTACCTCCCTAAGGAAGTTAATGTTCACTATTCAGTATCTTTTCATACTTTTTCCTTTGTTTCTACAGTAACCATAAATAGCTATATATAGTGTCCCTTTTAATAAAAATGTGATTGTGCAATACACATTATTTTTATTCTTTCAACAAGTGTTCAGGGTTCTGGGCTGGGGTGGACCATGGGTGGGATGGAGGCAACCTTGGAGCAGCGCTTAGAAGATACAATGAAGACTCCCTCCATTGTTGGAGTCCCGTGCCCAGATTCACAAGGACTTAATCTGGGTTGCCATGGGACCCTGTCAGATGAGCACGCTGGAGTGATATCTGTTCTAGCCCAGCAAGCAGCTAAGCTAACCTCTGACCCCACTGATATTCCTGTGGTGTGTCTAGAATCAGATAATGGGAGCATTATGATCCAGAAGCATGATGGCCTCACAGTGGCAGTACACAAAATGGCCTTTTGATGGCTCATAGCTGTTGTTCAGCAGCCTGTCATAGGAACTCCATCCTACCTATGTGAATTATCTTGTAGAACTACTGAAGTTCCAGTAGTTAGGCCATTCATTTAATGTGCAATGGGCACTTTTCGATTTACGTAAGAGTAAGTTGCTTTTAACACTATGGACTGACCTATCAAGCTATTAGTAAGAAAGGATCGTGTTGTGAAGCAGCCGGTCCAGGTCACTTTGTATATAGAATTTTGCTGTATTCAATAACTCCATTTGGAGGGGAAAAAAAACCACAATAAACAAGCGTTCAATGAGTACGTATTATTTGTTAAGCACTCTTTTGGGCATTAGAGGTCTAGGTGTGAATAAAACAGATGAGGCTTTCTACCAATTTGTTATCTTTCTGTCTTCATGATTGAAGACACAAAGATACAAATTAAGAAATAAATAAACCAAAAGAATTATCATATAGTAGTCAGTGCCTTGGAGAGAATTAAAGTGGGGAATGTGATCACTTTGCTGAGTTACAGAGAAGGCCACTTGTGTAGCCGAAACACAGGTTATCAAGAAAGGAGTCTGGTATAAGGAAGGTGATTTATTCCAAAGCTAGCTTTGGGGAAGGGAGTACAGGCTTCCTGCTTTAAGGGTAACTGCTTCACTTTTGGAGCAGAAAGCTGGCACTTTTAAAAGGCAGAGGAGGAAATGAGCAGGGGGAGGTCCATGTGCTAGCTCCGGTGTCTTATCTACAGGGCAGTCGAGCTGGTGACTGCTGGTGCCTTCTTGTGCAGGACTAGACCAAAAACTCCCCAGATGGGAGAGAGTTTCATATCTCTCGAGGTAGTCTCCTGGTCGGGGGGTGGGGGCCCATAGACATCAGCTGTTATTGATCCAGGCAACCTCCTGGTGAGTGAGGGTTCCTTTCTGGATCTCTCCCAAGCACATAGTTAGATGAACTTGCTCTCTAGGGAGCGTCTGGTGAAGGGGAGGTAAAAGGCTATATTTGCATTTCTTTTTTTTTTTTTTGAGATGGAGTCTCACCCTGTCACCCAGGCGGAGTGCAGTGGCGTGATCTCAGCTCATTGCAACCTCTGCCTCTCGGGTTCAAGTGATTCTCCTGCCTCAGCCTCCGAGTAGCTGGGATTACAGGCGCACACTACCACGCCCGGCTAATTTTTGTGTTTTCAGTAGAGACAGGGTTTCACCATGTTGGCCAGGCTGGTCTCGAACTCCTGACCTCAGATGATCCCCCTGCCTGGGCCTCCCAAAAGTGCTGGGATTACAGGCATGACCCTATGTTTGCATTTCTAAAGGGCTAAGTAGGAAGTGGGAAACTGGGGGAATGAGGAGAAAAGAGAGAGAAAAAAATAATCATCTCTCAGAAAAATGGGAGTACTTAGTTACACTTGGGCAAGGTAAAATTTAAATAAGATAAAAATTAAAAGAAAAAGCCAGACATTCAGAAATAAGAGGGAGGAGCCTTCCCTGCTGAGTGGACAGAAATAGCTCTCAGGTGAGAATGAGCCGGGTCATGTTTGAGGAATATGGCTGGAAGCATATTAGGAGCTGGGAGAGCAGTGGAATATGAACAAGAGGGAGAGAAAGGCTGTGTAAGTCAGAGTTAGAAGTTTGGGTTTTATTCTATATGCAGAAGAAGGCACTGGAAGGATTTAAACAGGGGAGTGATGTGACCTGATACATCGTTTTAAAGGAACCATTTGGCTATTTAGGGGAAGAAAAATAACTTTTTTCTTCAACCCTCATAGGTTCTCAGTTGGAGTGGACCCTTGTAACAAAAGATAGATTAACAAGAGCAAAACAAACAGCAGTTTAATGACATATGTATTTCTTATATACATGGCAAACACCCAGGGAATGAGTAGTTCTCAATGAGATAGATTTAAATTCTAGCTTAAATAGCATCTTCAACCAAAAAAAATGATAAATGTTTAGAGAAGTGACAAGACAAAGGAAGAGGACTTTGTCTCTAGGGGTGGCAACTTGAGGGAAGGCAAACAACTGGCAGATAAAGGCTAGTTGGTATAGCTTGCTCATGTAGATTCCCCTGGTGCCATCTCCAGGGGATACGCATTCTGTTTTGTCTTCAGGGTTTAACCTTTGTTTTCCCTGATTCAGAGGGAGGCAGATATCTTTTGTCTTTACATATATATCTATGTCCTGCTTTTAGACAAATATAGGGAGAGCAGAAGGTTTTCCTGCATCTGCTTCTTCTTAATTGCCTTCAGCTCAACGATCCTTCCTTTTTAGACTGGCATATTCTCATCCCCCACAGCGGCTATGTAGGGAATGGGTTGGTAGGAAGGTAAAAGTAATATGCTAAAAGGCAAAAGCCCCAGTGAGGCCCTAATGTGGCTTAGATGAAGTGTTGGTATTGGAAGCAATGAAAAGTGAGCACATTCTTGATGTTTTGGAGGTTGAGTCAAACTTGATTAATTAAACAAGGGAGCTGAGGGGAAGTAGAGAATCATGGATAAACCTAGATTTTTGGCTTGAACAACTGGATAGATAGTGGTACTATTTACTAGAGTCTTTGAAAGAATAGCTGTTCTGAAAATTTAGAAGACTGATTTTATTTTTAAAACAAGCAGGCTAGTATGTAAAATAAAAAGCACAAGCTAGTATGTAAAATAAAGCAGGCTAGTATGTAAAAAATATGTAAAGTATAAATAATGCCCATCTTAAGTTTCAAGAACATTATCACATATCTTAATCAAATTTGTGTGCCATTATTTGTATTTCATTTTCAAAAATAATGAAATCACATTAGGCATTTAAATGTATAAATAAATAATCAATCCCTTTCTCTAACAGCATATGCTATGCGGGTGATGTTTCTATTGAACCATCACAATTTGATTACATTCTAGAGAGGGCTTTTTAGTTCTGCTCTGGACTATTGGCTCTAGTAACTGCTACCAAATGATGAATGCCACCCCTCCTGTGGGCGGTATGGGAAGAGTACCCATATTCTTTGGTTTCCTGACCTCTTTCTTTTCCCTTCCCATTTGCCTATGTGGACCCTCTTAGTATATATCTTTTTTCCCCTTAGATGTTTCTTGTGAGTACTAAAGCATAACTCATATCCAGCATATGGCTAAAAGAGACAGCCCATTTAAATCATAACCAGATAGATGAAATAGAGCCATATCATTATTAAAGTGGACCTGGTAATAATAATTCAGCATTATTAAGTAGCAGCTTTATTATATGCTAATGGTATCTCATATTTATTTCTTTATTCAGCAAATGTTTATTGAACTATTTTTTTAAAAAAAGACAAGATCTTGTTCTGTAGCCCAGGCTAGAGTTCTGTGGTGCTATCATGGCTCACTGCAGCCTCAAACTCCTGAGCTCAAGCAGTCCTCCTGCCTCAGCCTCCCAAGTAGCTGGGACTATAGGCACATACCATTATGCTTGGCTAATTTTTAAATTTTTTGTAGAGACAGGATCTCGCCATGTTACCCAGGCTGGTCTTGAACTCCTGTCTTCAAGTAGTCCTCCCACCTCAGCCTCCCAAAGTGCTGGGATTACAGATGTGAGCTACTGAGCCTAGTGTCATTGAGCTCTTATTATGTGTCAGTGCTCTAGACCTGAAGGGTACCACAGAGAACAAAATTATTTCATGCAGTTCTGTGCTAGTAGACTGAGCAAGAGTGCTAATAAAACATTGAGCAAGAAGTCTGACGATGTGGGTTTTGGTTTTGGCTCTACTAATTACCTGTGGGCATATAACCTTGGGAGGCAGTTAACCTCCCAAAGTCTGTCTTTTTCTGTAAAGCCAGGTTAATAGCCTCCCCTGTGTATGTCAAAGGGTAGTTATGAGGGCCAGGTGTAAAAATATTTTATCCCTACAACTATATATATATTTATAAGGGATTATGATGCAGTACTTGTGGTAATTATAATACCATTGGTACAATAAGGGATTATGA